AAGTTTATTTGGCTTAAAATTTACTTTTAAGTTTTCTGCCACAGAGCTGAGAAGGTGCCTAACAAGTCTGATTAAGTCAGTAATGCATTTAACTGCAGGGCTCAAAGGCTAAGTGAAATTCTCTCAGACCCTTTCCTTTTTTTAGAACCTCATATAAAAATATGACATATTAAATCCCTATCGATGTACAGGACACTGAATTTTCTTTTATATGAGATCCAGTAATCCAATTCAGAGAGGCATGTTCATTCTAAGCCACTACCTATAAGAATCGCTAAGAAAATTTGAGGAGATTATAAACAAGGAAACTATTTAGGGTAAATAATATCAGAATTTAGGAGTCTGTTAAGAATGCTATATAATTTCAGTCTGAATATAGTTGCTCAGAAGAGAAATAGAGAATATTAAAGCATGAGACAATCATTTGCTATGTGTGAGAGCTATTGGCCGTTCTTCATTTCTTTCACATCTAAAAGTAAAAATCTGACACATTTTTAACCCATCTCGAAGTACAATTCATTTTCACACACAAGTTTCCAGTGCCATTTGAATAGATACTTTTATTAATATAAATGAAATAATTTCCTAGATAAATTATATTTTATAATTACATAATTATGGCCTTTACTGTGTCACCCATAGTATCTCACTTGTGAGTCACATAATAAATGTTTATGTAATTACAATTATGTGGCATTGTTGTATTTAATGTAACAGAGGTATTTGATACAAACTTATGCAATTCCTGGCCTATTTGGTCCTGAAGCAGGAATAATATTAAAGTTCTCACTCTTATTAGAGAGGCAATATTTTGCTGTTTTATCCAGTTCCAAGATTTGGCATATTCTAATGTCATTTTTTAAAGTTTAAAACCATATTCCCTTTTTATGTGAATATTAAAAGGTGATTAGGAGCTGTCCTCTAGGGTTCTTTCAAAAAAACCAGGTGTCTGGATTCTCAGAAATTGATCCTTAAGGGGAGATCTGTCTCTAGAATAAGAACAAGTTTAGAGAATTGTATGAGTTTTATGGCTTCCTCTTCTGATTAGGTGCCAAGACAGCCACATAAAACACTGCTAAATAGGCAGCATTAGGAAATGCTACAATGAAGAGAATGAGCTCAAAAGACAAAGACTAAGGAGATTTCCATTAAAACATTAAGTAATGCAAATATTAGCAATGTCTACAGAATTAAGTTTTACAGATTGTTCAAATCATTTAAAAGTATCCAAAGCACATGGTAATCATTCACTTTATTCTCTATATAAGTACTATTCCAAATACCCGCAATATCATCTATCTTTATGTAATAAAAATAATACTTTTTACCTTCAGAATTTTAAAATATATTATCAGCATATACCTCACATAATATTATGTGCTGTGGCTAGTGGCTGCGAGATGAGGTACAGGACGGAGAAACATACAAATATTTAAGAAGTAGCTCCTACCACAAAGAACTATGAAGAACTGTTCAAAAGCTAACATAATAAGCAATAACTATTGGATATTAATCATTAATAAATAATTGCGTAAAAGCTAATATAATGATAATCTCTTTCTTTCTCTTTCTTTCTCTTTCCTTCTCTCTCTCTCTCTCTCTTTCTCTCTTTCTCTCTCTCTCTCTTTCTTTCTTTCTTTCTTCTTTCTTTCTTTCTTTCTTTCTTTCTTTCTTTCTTTCTTTCTTTCTTTCTTTCTTTCTTGTTTCACTCTCTCTTTCCTTTTTTCTTTCTTATACTTCAAGTTCCGGGGTACATGTGCAGATCCTGCAGGTTTGTTACACAGGTATACATGTGCCATGGTGGTGGTTTGCTGCATCCATGGCCCCGCCATCTACATTAGGTATTTCTCCTAATGCTATCCCTCCCCAATCCCCAGACCCCCTGCTATTCCTCCCCTAGTCCCCCCACCCCCAGGCCCTGCTGTGTGCTGTTCCCCTCCCTGTGTCTGTGTGTTCTCATTGTTCAACGCTCACTTTTGTTTTGATTATTATCTATAACATAATTCCTATATTTATGACAAAATATAATATTTTGTAGTTACAACTGATGTAGTGCTAATTCCATTGCAAGAATGAAAGAATATTTTTGAATGAAACAGTTTTCTAAATCTTCTTTCATGATCTTTCATTTTTAAGAGCAATGAAGCCTCTTTTGTGGGAGGGATTGCTTTCTTTAATATGGAAGATCTCACCTTGAAACCATTACTTAGAAGTACTTGAAAATTGAAATTGGTGACCTGATTACCAAGAAATAATTAACCCAAGAGAGATTACAGGAAATGAAGGCTAAACTGGGGGCATTAAAACAATTCAAGGGCCTAGGTATCCCTTTTCTAGGAGACAAAATATCTAGAAATGTAATAGTTGGAGTTACACAAATTTAAATTTAAAATTAAAAGTCTTATTGATGAATGTGTTGTTAACAAAAACCACAGATTCAAATATTATGAAGAATGCCCTGTTTTCTTAAACTCTGAAAGAAATAAAGGAAACTCGTCACAGTTAGAAGCTGCAATCTAAACATAAAAGTGAAGATATCCGTATTACAGTTTCATTTTTATTAAATCCCCTAACCTCACCTTTCCAAATAGCATTTTGAGATACACTAAAAAGGCACATGAACCTAGTAGTAAACAAACTTCACAAGGTTAATACATTTAAAAAACCTATTTTAATAAAATATTTGAAAAGAAAGTATGATACATCCATGAATAATATTCATATGTATACACACATTTGAAAAGAAAAGGAGTCACAGTGTTGCCTTCCAACGACAAAGAGGGTTATAATACTGAAGGAAGCATCATGAAGTTTGTTTAAGGGAGAAAAACATTATGAACACTTTTTATTATTTTTGAACTTTAAGAAAACAACATAAAATTTTGATTAACATGAAGGGGCTAATTGCTAACCAGTGGAGATTTTGCATGAATTCACTCACATCCGTTCATATTCATTTCGCAAATATGAAAATTGCCATATTCAGTGTCAGCTACTGGGGACACTAAAATCATTTATAAAATATATTAATTTAAATATTATTAAAATTAATCTTACATTCAAGCAAGAATTGTAATTCTTTTTAAAAATACAATAAAATCAGTGAGGGTTGTGATAGAAAGTAAAAGGTAGGTACTATGGGAGTACAGGAAGATGTATTACCTGAAATAGGGATGTTTAAGCTAAGAATAGGAGATAGTAAGCAAAAATATGATTAGACAAACAAAGGGTTTCACTGCTGACAGTTTGTGGAACAGCAGCCCTGCAGACAGATAGAGACAAACATATCACAGGGAGAATGACCTTGCTTGAAGTCTGCAAGTAGTTGCCTCACTTATCTGTGCTTCCATATTGTCTACACTTATCACAATGATAGTGTGCATAGCAGTAACTTGCATTTCATAAGGTACATGTCTTTTTACCTTAGATCCATACATTATTTTCTTATTCAACTAGGTATCCTCAAGTGCTTAACAAAATTAAAACTCAATAAATAATTTCATCCTCACCTAAAGCAGCACAGTTACTCATTCTTCCCTGTTTATGAAATATATAGATGATAGATAGATAGATGATTGATTGATAGATAGATAGATGATAGATAGATTCAATTCTGTCCCTTCAAAATTCATATGTTGAAGTCCTTGCCCCCAGTACCTCAGAATGTGACTGGTTTTAAAGATAGGGTCTTAAAATCAGTGATAAAATTAGAATGAGGTCATTAGAGTCAGTTTCAATCCGATATGACTGGTGCCCTACAGAAAGAATAAATTAGAAGACAGACACCAAGGCAAGATCACATGAAGACATGAAGATAAGATGGCAATCTATAAGCCAAGGAGTGATACCTCAGGAGAAAATTAATAGAAATATTCTATTGTTTAAATTACCTAGTCTGTGTGTGTGTGTGTGTGCGCGCGCGCGCGAGGGCGCGCGCACGCACACACACACACACACACACACACACACATATATATATATATATATACATACATATACATATACCAAAATAGATCATTTGATTGGATGTCTTAACTATCTTTAAATCACTAATTTTGGCCAATAGATGGTTGACTCTGAATTGGGAAATGTGACAATGATACAGTTCACCAAACTCCTGCAAAAGGACATCTATTGTCACTTTCTTAACAAGAAGCCTATGAATGTTTTCAATAAACCATGTCAATTCAACTTATTAATCACAATTTATAGTGTTTTATATGGATTGTTACTGATGATAATTATGCTTTGGGAATGCAAAGTGATCTCCAGAACATTTCAGCTGAGAAATAAGAATTTGATTTAAAATAGTATTCACCGAAAAGAAAAGAAAGGGTGAGGTAGGAGACAATTTAGCTGTATTTTGGTATTAACTTTGATGTGTAAGACAAGAGAAAAGAATAAAATAAAGATGACATTTAGGTTTCTGGTTTACAGGATAGTGATGCCATCAACTAAATTTTAAAACTCTCTCTCCTCACAAAAAGAGCAGAGTTGGGACAGAAAAAGATTAAGTCAATTTTAGATATTCTAAATTTGAAGTGTTAGTGTATTACTAAGTAGAGATGTATTAGTATCTTAGTGAATAAAGATATCAGAGGGTTAGTGAAATTCAGACAGACTAAGTTTGGAGTAAAATAAAATCAACAGAGTCAACAATGTGGGATCAGAAAGAAGGATTTGTAGGTTTTTATCTAAAAGGCCATGATGTTAAGTAACAAACACCAGCTTAAGAGATATGTGTTATGAGTTAAAACTGGAAGAAACCAAATGTATAAAGAAACAAGCTTCTTAAAAAAAAGGTAGCAAAATCAGGAGTTTTGTTTAATGTAATCAAAATATTCTTTTTTATTATATTTTAAGTTCTAGGATACATGTGAAGAATGTTCAGGTTTGTTACATAGGTATACACGTGACATGGTGGTTACGCACACCCATTAACATGTTATCTAGATTTTAAGCCCCACATGCATTAGTTATATGCTATCCTTCCCCTTGACCCCCATGCCCCAACAGGCCCTGGTGTGTGATGATGCCCTCCCTGTGTCCATGTGTTCTCATTATTCAACTCTCACTTATGAGTGAGAACATGCAGTGTTTGGTGTTCCGTTTCTGTGTTAGTTTGCTGAGAATAATGGTTTTCAACTTCATCCATGTCCCTGCAAAGGGCATCACCTCATTCTTTTGTATGGCTGCATAGTATTCCATGGTATATATGTGACACATTTTCTTCATCCAGTCTACCATTGATGGACATTTAGGTTGGTTCCAGGTTTTTGCTATTGTATATAGTGCTGCAATAAACATACATGTGCATGTATTCTTACAGCAGAATGGTTATAATCCTTCGGGTATATACCCAGTAATAGATCTTTGAGAAATTGCCACACTGTCTTCCACAATGGTTGAACTAATTTACAGTCCCACAAACAGTGTAAAAGCATTCCTGTTGCTCCACATCCTCTCCAACACCTTTACACACACACACACACACACACACATACACACACACACGCACAATGGCTTTGCAGGAACCTGGATGGAACTGGAGACTATTATTTTAAGTAAAGCAACTCAGGAATGGAAACCCAAACATTGTATATTCTCACTCATAAGTGGAAGCTAAGCTATGAGGACACAAATGCACAAGAATGACACAATGGGCTTCGAAGACTTGAGGGAAAGGATGGAGATGGGGTGATGGATAAAAGACTAAAAATTGAGTTCAGTGTATACTGCTTAGTTGATGGGTGCACCAAAATCTTACAAATCACGTCTTAAGAACTTACTCATGTAACCAAATATCACCTGTTCCCCAAAAGCCTATGAAAAAAAAAATATATATATATGTATATATATATATATTAGGAAAGGTGACATAGTTTAAGAATTTGAAACTTTGAGGCAATAAAAGATGGTGATTTGCTACTATTCATTACTGTATTTTCAGAAAATAAGTTTTATCTCAAAGTAATACAAATTAACTCAAAATTCATAATTAGACTATAAGAATCTGGAAGGTAGGTTAATTATTTAGATATATATACTATGGAAACAGAAAAAGCAAAGTACAACTGGTAGGATTGATGCATAAAATATATGACACATCTAAAATAGCCAAATTCATAAAAGTAGAGAATCAAATGGTGTTTGTTAGAGGCTATGAAAAGGAGAAAATGGTAAGGTGTTGTTCCTGAGTACACTCAGTTACGCACGATTAATACATTCCAGATCTCTATACAACATAGATGCTATAGTTAACAATGTTGCAGTGTGCACTTTATGTTTAATAGAACAGATCTCATGTTAAGTGTTCTTACTACAAAACAAAATCAAACAAAAACCACTACAAGAGAACACTAGAAATGCTTTGTCAGTGATAAATATGTTTCAATACTTTTAGGGGGTGGCAGTATAGGTGTATACATATGTGAAATCTCATCAAAATGTATACATTAAATATGTGCAATTTTTGTATATCAATTATACCTCAATAAAGTTACAAAAAGAATGAATCAACACTTCGAAAACTTTTTTTAAAAAGAAAAATACTGTTTTTTTAAGTGCATTATAGACAGAACTGAAAACTTCAGAACACTAAAAACTTAGAAAGTATACTGATAATAGAATACTTTTTGGAAAAGAAATTGCAAATATAAAAGAAACAGTTAAAATTTGCAAACCTTTATTTAAAATAGTAGATATTTATAAAATATACTCATTAGCAAGTTTTAGCATGCTTATCAATTCCTATAGGAGCAACAAGAATAAGGCAGATGGAATGAATTGGACCCCAATATTTTTCTTTTTCTCTACAAAGCAACTTCAAATGCAAGAAATAAAATTAATAGAAGGGTGTAGGAAAAAATGAAAGCAAGAACAAATAAATACTACCCCTTTAGATGTCTTATATCTGTTTTTCTCCAATTTGGGAATGTATAGTAATTCACCTGAAATGTCTGTAAATATCCAGATTGCTGGATCTGACCTTAGACTAACACACAAAAATAGCTTGGGCAGACCCTAAAATCTGCCTTTTTTTTTTTTTTGCAGGTTTGTAATATGCCCACCATTTAAAAAAATATTTTATTGAGTTTTAGGTTTGGGGGTACATGTGAAGAACATGCAGGATTGTTGCATAGGTACATACATGGCAATGTGGTTTGCTGCCTTCCTCCCCATCACCATATCTAGTATTTCTCCCCATGTTACCCCTCCCCAACTCCCAGCCCACGCTGCCTCTCCCCTAGTTCCTCCTCACAGACCCCAGTGTGTGATGCTCCCCTCCCTGTGCCCATGTGTTCTCATTATTCAACACTGCATTTTTAACAAGAGGTTCTCTGGAGACTTATTTGAAAATTGACCCATGTAATAAAAAATTGTAAAAAGATTCTTTTAGAAAATGCAAGGAAAAAATGAATTCAAGAGGTTCATTATAGAAATGTATCTAAGAGTAAAAAGGTAGTGAGAAAATCTTGAAGAAATAAACAATGTAATCATGTCACAGTTAAAAAACGAACTGATTACTTTAAGATGGGGCCAAGTACAGGAAGTGTACTGAAACACCTATATTTTAGTTTTATGTGAACTTTCATAAGATTTCGAACCTTTATTTTTTTTTTCATGTTTTAAGTAAATCTTTAAGTTTAGAATAGTTTCAGATTAAAAAAAAAAAAAAGAACACTTTCAGATTTACAGAATAGTTAAGAAGATATTAGACGGGTCCTATACGTCCCACACTGTGTCTGTATGATAAATATTTTATATTAGTATGGGATATTTATAATATGAGACATTGATTATTCACTGTTAATATACATTTATAATTCATTCAGATTTCTATATTCCTTAGCTAGTTTTCTTTTTCTGTTTCAGGATCTATCCACGATACCACATAGCATTTAACATAATATCTTCTAAGCCTCTGCTTTTCTATGACAGTTCTTAGGCTTTGCTTGTTTCAGGTGATCTTGACAGTTGAAAAGTCCTAAAAAAGGAACTCTGTGGGGTGTAACTCCATTGGGTTTGTCTGATATTGTTCTCACGGTAAAACTGAATTACAGGCTTTTAAAAGGTAGATCACAGAGGTGTAGTGCCGTTTTAATCATATCATATGAGTACTAGCTTGATCTGCTTATTTCACAATGTATGCATGTATCAAAACATCACATTATATTCATGAATATATATATAATTATCTACTTAAAAACAATATAAAACTGAAGGTAATCATTTTGTTCAGTTTTGAACTGTGACATGATTGTAATATTATTTCTCCAACATTTTCCCTCTATAATTATTTTCCTCTTAGATGAAGTTATATAATGAACTTCTCAATTGTTTTCTTACATTTTTTAAAAATAATTTTTAACCTTTTATTATGTTGACCAAGTTCAAAAGAGTACATATTATACATATGGCTAATTTCTTTTGTTATTTACCTTGATCACTTTTACAAGGTAGTGTTTGTCAGGTTTCCCTGCTGTGATGTTATGCTTTTTCTCTCCCTTTCCACACTTTGCATTTGAAAAGAGTCACAATGCATAGATCACACTTAAGAAGTGCCTCTTTGGGGCAGAGTTTCTATGTAAATTATTTGAAATTATTCTGTACCAGGTATTTGTCCTCTCTCCCTGATTCATTTCATTATTTGCTCATTTATTTATGTCGCTGTGAGACGATGGGTTTTTATTTCATAGTTTCTATTATAATTCAGTATCGGAATGCTTATGTTGCTGCTCAAATTGTTCTACTTTCACCATGGGATGCTCTTTTAGTTAGCTTCTGTGTCTAGCTGACATATCTCCATTATTGTATTTTCGAGTGTATGTCTTTTTGTGTGTGTGTTTTTTTTCTTTTGCATTTTTCTACTTTCTGATTCTAGGTTTGTCTTTTACATGTTCTGTCCCAGCCCTAGAATCAGCCACTTCTCCAAGGAGTTCCGGTTTCGATTCCTAGAGACTGGTATTATAAACCAAGATCTGTGACCTACATGTGTTCAGTGACACTGGAGTGGTCCCGTGGCTCTCTTAGCTAATACAGCAAGGGCATACATGTGTTTAGAATCCCCATGCATATACACATATCTTCAATATTTTGTTTGTATTTATATTAAGCTAAACATGAGTACATGAATACATGAGTTCATACTGTGGGAGATCAGAATATACATCCCCAAAATATAAAGGATTGTTGAGATGCAGGCACTTAAGAACAAGTAGATGCAGAAAAGCTCTCTGTCCTCCCTTTACTTGTCTGAAAGCAGGGCATAAGTCTACAAAGACCCAAGATATGCTGCCCTCAATCTATACCAGGGAGAACCAAGGTCCACTACTGAAGACTTTGGATCCTTTTGGTTCAAGAGATGTTACCAGAGGAATCTGACCAACAAGTTTTACTAAGTAGCTTTTACCTGGCATTTATTTGCCTTTTCCACAGTTGCTGCTGAAAGAGACTCAAAGTCCTTTTCCTTTGTCTTGCCACTTCTCTAAAAATTTATTGTTCTTTGTTGAAGATACTATAATATATATGCTGAAGCCAAAGCCATCTGTTTGAGAACTAGTTCTTCCCTGAGTATCTCCTATGTATATATGAAATAAACATGTTAGTGAATTTCTGTTTGTTTTTCTTTTATTAATCTATCTTTTCTTACAAGGGTCCATTCCAACTAATAACTTATTAAAGCTAAAGGAAAAGTTATTTTTCCTCCCCTACAACACTGATGTTTCCAACTCTAATTCGGTAGTCTCTGGATCTTTCTTGCCTTTTCCCTTGATTGCCTGTAACCACTCACTTCAACAGGCAGACTGCCATTGTTTGTCACCCATTAACTTAATTGTTCAATATACACGTATAGTGGTGCTGACATGTACTCCACGGGAAACAACTTTATCAACTAGGGTACATCACTCATACACATTTACCTTTGTCTTTTATCTTACAGTCTCTACTCATTTTGCAGATTACTTAGATTAACACCTTTCCACCCTAATCCAATCAGTAAGGAAATTTAATACATTTTTAGTATGTTTAGATTATTTTCTCAGTCTGAATCCCATCCTGGAATCCCTCAAATTTCTACATGATTTTTAAAAA